GTGTAGGAGTATGACCCATTTCTGGCCCAAGGGACCCAACTCAGGTCTCCTGAAATCCACTGGGAACAACTGGCAAAGATTTTCTTCCCTGATAAAAACAGACATGTGAGAAGGCCCCCTCCTGCCTCTGAGTGCAGCTGGAGGAGGAGCTGGGGAATGTTGAGAGGAAAGCCAAGAGGAGGGCAGCAGAGATGCAGACTCAGAGCCCTAACGTCTTCCAGCCACTGAAGCAAGCCTACAACTTCCCATCACCAGACTTCTTGTTATGGGAGCAAAACCCTCCTTTTTCCACACTCATATGCAGGTATTGATACTTCTGGCGAAAGACCTCCTCACTCAGCCTCCATCTGCAGGCGCAATGTGTCTGGAGCCAATCCTAACTGTTGATGCAACTGAAGGAAGCCTCACCCACCGCTCTGAGACATCAGTCCTGCTCCTTGTTGAGCTCCAACGGCATACATGCTGTGGTTTAGGATGGTAATGAAGGTTCACATTCTTATGGCAACTCAGACTGATTGGCAGTGACTGGCTAATGTGCTGTGCAGAGGGTTAAATACAGGTTCTGCGGAAAGGAGTGCCTAGATTCATAGTGCCAGATATCTGCCTTGGGCTGCATGTTTGTCCTATGGATGGATGGAGTTCAGAATTAGAAGACCCAAGTTTGAGTCCTGGCTTTACTGCTCATTGGTTTTGTGATTTTGTCAAGTCATTTAAACTTTTTTAGCCTTCTTATTGGTTAGTTGTTATAATCAAGATAATGTAAGTGAACGTGCTTTGTAACCTATGAAGTGTCACACAGATGGTAGCTATTTTGTCTTATTTTTATCAAACCTCAGCTGAGGACCAGGTTGATAGGAGGGAGGGAGGAAGAGGATGAATTCAGGGCTTGAGCTCTGGACAGTCAATAGCTGGACACCTAACAGGAGGGTGCTGATCTAGGGTACGGAAGCAGAACTCATACAAGGCCAGAGTTTCAGGTGAAAGTGAACCAGCAGAAGTGAGTTGTCAGCCTGAACAGTGAAACACAGTTGGAGAAGATTCCAAAAGCAGAAGTGAAGATGCTAAGGGCAGAACCAGAAACTATGGACTGGATAGCCTGGGCTCTAGTTTTCTTGCTGCCCCCAAACCTGAGGGATATGGGCCCACCCATCAGTAGCAGTGGCTCACCATGTCTAAGGATTTTTCTAAATCTTCACAGGGGCAAATGAATTTGCCAAAGTTCCCTCCCTAGGTGATTCCAGTGTGCTTCCTTAGGGTGGTGTGCCTCTTTCCTCTGTTGCCAATCACCACAGCAGACTAGAGGGAAGAAGCCCAAAGTATAAAAAGAGACAGTCAGAAGTTGCTAGAGATTCTGGGTAAGCTAAGGGTGGCAAGGACCATTTATTTTTCTCTCCTCCTTCACCTGACATAGCACAAACCCACCACACTGCCAAAAAAGCCCAGCAGGTAGTAAGTCAAAAAATCAGAAAAGGGCCTTTTGTGATAAAACTCAAAGCTGAAAAAAGGGCCAGGGACTGTTAGCATAGCTAGACTGACCCCAAATGGCCCTCACTCTCCAGGTTAGAAAGGCCTGAGAGCCTTGTGAAGTCTGACCTAAAGGCCAAGGGGAGGGAGGCTTCCTTTAGCCCTTCCTGAACCCACAGGGATCTAGCGTACTCACCAGCTCCATGCAGGAAAAGGGAGAGAGAAACAGATTGATGACAATCTCAGACAAAAGCTGAGAAGAGGCTGAAACCTAGCAGGGAGGCAGACAGAAGTCAGAGCTGTATTTGTTCATAGCTTTATCTCCAATGTCTACAACACAGACTGGTTCATATAGGAGGCAATGAATGAATGAGCCCATGGAGAGGTGGTGAATCCCAGATCTCATGGGTTCTCTAAGGAACTGAAGAGGGGTGTTTGAAAGAGAGGCCTGGAAAATGGAGGCTCTGCACCTGTGGAGAAGCAAGTGCATGAGCTGAACTGGGGGAGGCACCCCTCCCAGTCTGTACCCAGGGGGACTGCGCAGAAACCTCGAGGAGGCTCAGGCCTGAAGAGGACACCTTGACCTTAGATTTCTAGCCTCCAGAACTGAGAAAATAAGTTTCTGTGGTTAAAGCCACTCAGTTTGTGGTACTTTGTTATGGCAGCCCCAGCAAACTAATACAGTTATCCTTATAAAACAAACGTGGCCCACTTCACAAATTTAATTACCAACCTAGCCCTAAGGCATCCGAATATAAACAATGCTTTAAATTCATTCATTTATTCAATACCCAAGCACCTACAATGCCCTGAACATTGTACACTTATGTATTCAAGTCCTTTATCATTATTTTGTCATTAACAACCCACCTCTAATGTTTTCCAACAACTTTCTGCTAAGCAGCTTTATGTGACATTTGGTTGTCTACCACTGCTTCTCCTGATTAACGGGAAATGATCCTTGTTATGGATCTGAAATGAAGAGCATCACACGACCTAGTTCTCAACTCTTGCTACACATCAGAATCACCTGGGAAGCTTTTAAAATATCTATGCCTAGACTAGCCTCTTGCCCTATTCTGATTTAGTTGGTGTTTGTGTAGAGCTCCAACAGTGTATTTCTTTAAGTTTCACAGGTCATTCTTTTGTGCAGCCGAGGCTGAGCACCATTGCTCTAGTCTGCAAGGTCTTCGAGGTCATCTCCTTTGCAACTCGAAGTGCAGTTCACAAACCACCAGCACTGCCATCATCTGGATGCTTGTCACAAATGTAGAATCACAGGTTTTTCCCCAGTCTAGCAACTCAGAATCCACATTTTAACAGGATTCTCCACACAATTCAGATGCACTCTAACATTTGGGAAGCACTGAATTCCCACTAGAATCATCTGAAAAGCTTGTTAAAAGTAAGACTACCTGGCTTCCCCTCAGAACCACAAAATTTCAATCACTAGGAAAGGCTGGTAATCAGAATTTTACGTATTTTTGTGTAGCCACAAGGGTTTGAAGCTTGGGAATCACTATTTAGGCCAATGTATATATCCCTTCAGCTGCCCAGTCTCTGCCTAACCTTCCAATTTTTTGAAAATCAGAAATGTAACAGATACAGGTTTTTATTTTTCCACCATGCATGCAAGCTTACAACTATTTATACGGTTCAGGAACACAGAAATAATTGCATTATTACCAGGGTGTCAAATTATCAAGTATGACAACCAGTTACTGATTACTTTTGTGAGGCTATTTTCACAGAACATAGCAACAATTTCCAAATTATACTTTCAAGACCAGTTATATTATGAGAACAGGATAAGGTGATAACAATCATAATAGTCACACAAAGTCTTCATGTTACATAGGAAAAAAAGACTGATATTCTGGTGAAGGGTCTCAATTCAATACCTTATCATATCAGAGTCTTTGAAAGAGTTTTACAACAAAACAGGCTCTCTCTCCTTTTGTGGATGCAGAGGAACAGGAGCATCCCCCTTGTCTCTTTTTGAGACTCCTTGTTAACTCTGAAGACTTTCATTTCTAAGGCCCATCCCTGGAACTTCGTTAGTTAACATTAAAAGGAAAAAGTAGACTTGATGTGATAATGATAGCACACCCCACCACTATCACCATCAAAAGAGAGTACCAATCTCCCAAAGTAGTTACAGTTGCATTGGTACAGTGTCTTGGACTTTCGATAAACAATACAGGTGGGAGGAGAGAGATACAGATGAAACCAGATCAATCATAATTGATAATTGATGCAGCTAGGTGATGGGCACATGGGACCCAGGGACCATCCTCTCCACTTCTGTGCATGTCTGAAAATGTCCATAATAAACAGCAAAAAAGTTTAAAACAAAACAAAAAACATAATAGCAGACTTGTACAGCTCTATTTTCCCATTTGGGAAAAATGGTAAGATTTTACAGGCAAAATAGGCAGCATATAGCATTAATCTTCCACATAAACAAGGCCACACCTAGAACAAAAGAGAAAGCATCCAAAGTAACATTATTCCATTTTTGTTTCTGTGACTTATAAAATGTAGGAATTATGAGATAGATTGGACAAAACTTTGGGCACACCCTCATCTAGGCATCATTTGCCCGTAGCCCCTTTAATTCTCCCTTCCCAGCCCTGGGGAAGGTCCCTCCCATCCTCTCCATCACTGAGAGATAGGCAAGCTCTCCCTGCAGCTCCTCCAGCCATTTCTGTCTGCTTTTCCAGGCCCACTCCATACCAGACTCATGCCTGTTCTATGTTTTTGCTCCAATTCCCCTGTCTAACACACCCTCGCTACAACTTTGAGTCAAGGTCTCCTTTTCTAGAACTTAGAATGAGGTCTTCCATAAGGAAAGCGAAGTCAGAGGGAGGAGAGGTGTAGATATAATCCTTCTCCCCACCCTTAAGGATAAGGGGGGAAAGAGGGCCCATTTCAGCTTTCACATCCACTGGAAAAACCTGGAGATCCAGAACAGATTCTGCCCATCCCCATGCCCCAGGATAGCCTTGACGCCCCCAACCCCTCATACTGGAGATTAAAGCCTACTCCTGTGGATATTTGAAGGTAGAAAGCAAAGAGAGCAAAGGACTACTGAGAGTGGAAAAGCTGGACACTGAGGATCCAGATGGCCAGAGGCTACCAAAGAAGAGGAAACAGCCAGAGGTACTTGGGTCTTAAGGACCATTTAAAAAAAAAAAAAAACCCTCAAAACAAGAGTAAACACTAATCCACAACACTGCTGCCCTGGGATTTATAATCAAGCAGATGCATAGGCATGAAAAGGATTTTCAACTTCAGAATTGTAGAGTGAGCCCAGGAGAAAGGACCAGGGTCCTTCCACAGATCCTCTTGGCCTTATGGTTCCCTCTAATCTCTTTCAGCCTAGTACGTGAGTGCCCATAGCAAGTCCCTACCCGTATGTAGATAACTATTATTTTTCAGTTGTTTTGTTTTCTCTGAGTTGTAGTACTATTTAAACAAACAAAAAAAAGGAAGGCGGCAGGGGAGAGAGGGAAGAAAGGGAGGGAGGAAAGAGAGCCAAGTAAGAAGTGTGTGAGATGAAGTCAAGCAGGTAGAGACCCACAGATCATAAATACCTCTTCCCAGCACCCCTTTATGGCACTCTGGTCGTATCTCAAGAGGGGATAAAGGAAGTTGACAAAGGTACCCAAATTCTCTGTAGGTCCAATCCCCACCCTCACCTGAAGCCACAGCATAGTGACAGTGAACACATGTCCACACATACCAGCCCGCCCTTCAGTCTAGCAGCCAGGAGGGTTCCTGGAAGGCTAGGGAGGATAGATGTGTGTCTCATGCACTGGCAGGGGGCCTGAGTCCACTGGCAGTTCTTGAGGTCCTTGTTGACCAGGAAACCAACTGGGACTGACAGCAACCTAGACAAAACTCAATGGCCTGACAGTAAGGGGGCATGGCATAGAGCGGACCTTGATGAAGGTTCACCAGTAGGAAGGCCCAGAGGCAAGAAGAGACTCACGATGGTACAGAACACATGGCATACTGTTTCTTGCCCTTAGACAAATGCATGTCCAGCAGTCAAGTGCCATTCTGCTGGATGTCCACCAGGGTGGGTAGCATGGACCCCAGGACAAAGCCAGTAACAAAGGAGGTGACACCTTGGCTGGTGACCCCAGGCCCATGAAACAGTAAGTTCTGGCTGATGGCCAATACCATGTGCACTGGCTTCATTTTGCAGTGGCAACACAAATGCTTGCCATAGATGACATGCATGGCCAGCATGAACAGGAAGTCCAGCAACTCACTGGGCCTGAAGTAGTAGAGCTTGAGGATGCAGTGGTCCTCCTGGAGGATGACTTGTGAGTGTCCATATTAAAGACAAGCAGGAAAGGCCAGAGCCAAGAACAGGGTCCAGGCAATGTAGATAAAGGCAGCACACATCTGAAGTATGTGTTTAACATATGAACAGTAGGGGTGAGATCACATAACATGTGACACTGATGTAAAAATGAAGGCCATGGGGAGGCAAAAGAACATGATCATAAATGCCACATTCTTGTAGCTAAAGTCCTAAAGGGGCAACAGTGCACAGAGGCCAACATGAAAAGAACGCAGACAGCCAAACGCACATGTAGTAAGCCACGAACGGTCCAGCAGGAGGTAGTAGAGACTTGTGCAGAATCAGTTGGACTGGTTTACCCCAGGCTCAGTGGTCTCCACTGGCTGCTTTGCTGGACCTTGCCTGCCCTCCTTTTCTTTTCCTTTCTCTCCACGGGCCCCTTCGCTCAAAAGGTAGTACTGCAGGGGATTGGGCCACAGTTCCTCGTTGATTATCTCCACAATCTTGTCAGACTCAATTGAGCTGTGGTTTGAAAACCACCCAAAGAAGCTACGGTTGTTTTCTGGGTTTCCTTGGCTTAGGGACTGGAGATCATGCCCAGGAAGCCACTGGATTGGTGTAGAACGAGACACCACCTGACCCGAAGGGCCACACCCATATTCCTTGATGAGCACCTTATTTTGGAAATAGGGGTTACGGCCAAAGTAAAACTTTATTTTGTAGCCCAATCTGGCGAGGCCAAGCTCTTCCACCTCCAAGCTGTTCAAGTAGGTGAGTACCTCTTTATCCTGGTTGTTCAGAAAGGATGATAGCTGGGGGTGGTTCTGAAAAGCTTGCCCCCAGAAGCCCGGAATATTCTGGATGAGGAGGTTCCTGCGCTCTAAGTGGTGCAATCGCAACTGCCCAAACTTGCGCGAAAGCCGAAGGTAGGCCCTGTCTGCCTGGGCATTCATGGTCTCCAGCTTCAGCTGGACGGTCTCCAGAGTATCCATGCTGCCTTCTGTGGCAGGGGGCCCTGACCCTGCATTGTCCTCTACTCTATTTTCCTCTCCCGCAGAGACGGAGGTACCCTCCCCTGCCGGCCCTTTCTTCAGCTTCCCACCGGCCATAGCCTGAGGCCCCCTCCCCACTGCACTACAGGTCTCTGGGGCCTTCTTCCCAGCAGGGCCACGCCGATTTCCAACGCGGGGGGCATTTTTCGGCCTTCCCACAGTCCCCACGGTTCCCACGAAGACAGTGTCTGTTGCCAGGCGCTCCGAGAGAGATGAGGTCTTCCCTGGCCCGGGCCTACTCGCTGCCTGCCCGCAGTCCCCCGCGGCTCGGGCTCGGAGCGCGAGGCCACAATCCAGGGGGAGCCGACAGGCAGCCTCGTCCCCGAGCCGGAGGGGCGGCGCGGGCGCAGCGGTTTCCAGGCCACCCCAACCCGCGCCAGCCTGCACCTGTGCCGCCTTGGTCTCCTCCCCGAGCCTCTGGCACTGTGGTGGGTCCGGGACGCGCGGGGTGTCGTCAGGAGCAACGCGGACTCGGGTTTTGGCGCGGCCTTTGCCCCGGCTTTTGGCGCGGGAAGACTTTCGACCCCGACTTCGGCCGCTCATGGTGGTGGCGGTCGCGTTTTCAAAGCCACGCTCCGACCCTGCGGCTCCTAGCGCCAGCTCGCTGTGCCTACCGAGCGGGCCTCTCCATGGCAACCGTCCACGTCACGACTGTACGACTGTACCGTCGCGCGAGGACGGGCGGCGCCCGGTGATTGGCTCCGCCGCCGCAGCTGCGCACCAGACGACCCCCAACCCCCGCCCCCCGCCCCCCGCCCCCATCCCACGCTGACTCGCTGGCGAGGTGGGGGAGCTTTCTCTGACGTTGGCGTGGCATGTGCTGTCGTTGAATCTCCTCCCATTGATCTCAGTTGTGGCCTCAGGGTCTCAATGAGCTCATCTATTACTCTTACACAAGACAACCTTAAGAAAACCATCACGACCTGGCCCCCCATCATCTATTTTCTAAAGTAAACGTCTTCAGTTATCTCTTGTGACATTTATCATGATGAAACTGCTATTGGCCTCTGCGTCTTATCTTTGAACGCCTTAGGGATTGCTAAGGGATTTGCTCTGGTACCTTAACTCCAGGGAAGGTAAAGGTGGATGCTGTAATGCCAGGCCTTGAAGCGATTTGATACTTGGTGGGATGTTAGTAAAAATTTTTAAAATAATAGCAACTAGTATTATGAGTATTTTATGTGCCAGGCACTTAACTAAGTGCTGGACCATGCTATTACTAAGCCAGGTGGTAGGACCATGAATAGTGAGGGAACCCGTGGCTAATAATGAAAGTGTAAAGAAATACCTTTTGGGGTAGTCCTTTCAGGCCCAAAGGGAACAAAAAGCCCTTTGCAACCAGCCCAAAAGCCCCTGGAAGCTCAGTATCTCTTTACTCTCTTTATTCAAAGTGTGGTTGTGGACCAGGAGTCTGGTATATCCTGAAAACTTGTTAAAGATGCAGAATCTCAGGCCCTACCCCAGACCTACTAAGTCAGAATCTGAATTTTAAGGAGGTGATTTTTATGCACATTGAAGTTTAAGTGTGGGAGACAGGGAAAAGGAGGAATTATTTTGGTACAGGTGGACCCTACTTTAAGCCAGCCCAATTCAAGTGATCTCTAACTTTTTCCAAAGCTCTACAGTAACCTGCAAGGCCCTATGTGATCTGGCAAGTTCCTTCCCTGCCACTACACAAGTTACCTCTCTGACCTTATCTGCTTCTTTCTCTCACACCCCCTCCAACTACACTAGCCTCCCTTTTGTTCTTAAATTCACTAGGTAAGCTCCTGCCTCAGGGCCTTTGCACTGACTCTTCCTTCTGCCTTAAATGCTCTTTCCCCAGATGTGATCAGTAGTCTTGGCCAGCTCCCTTCAGACTTTGCTTAAACGTCACTGACCATCCTCAATGACCATCCTATTTAAAATTGCCACTCACTCCATCCCTTTTACCCTACTCTGTTTTTTCTTTATTCCATAGCACTTATCACCATCTACCACACTATACCAATTATTTATTACAATTATTGCTTAACTATCTCCTCTCTCCAGAATATCAGCTCCATGAGGGCAGGTATCTTTGTTTTGTTCACTGATGTATCTTCAGTGCCTATAATAGTGTCTGACACATCAAAAGCATTTAATAAATAATTGTTGAATGAAAGAACCAATCAAAGCAGAGTTTTCAGAAATGAGTTTGTAAGATGCTTGTCGGAAATTCAGAATACTCTTTGTTTCCCTCACAAGAAGCAATGTTTTAGATGAAGGCTAAATTCTCAGATCAACCCATGGGATCCTATTAAACTCATAATTTAACCAAAAAAATGATATTTTGTTTTGGAGCACCATTCAGGGACGGTCTGTAGGTCAAAATCTAGAGTGAAAAATTAAAAAATTAAGTTGGGGGACCTAATATTGGAGTTAAAAGGGATTAATTAGTGCAAGGATTACCTCAAATTCTTGTGGAAGGCCCTTTCATAATCACTTCTTTCCAAGGCCTTCCATGATCACACCAAACCACAATAAGCAACCCCGTCCTTGACCTCCTGGAGCACTTGTTAGATGTGTTATTCATTTGACAGTTAGATACGCACTGTTCTGTACTACTTCTTGTACAGAATTACCTCTTAAGCTGGATAATCACAGTCTGGAACTCTTTGTAAATATCAGAAAAATCAAAAAATCAGCTAAAGCAGTCCTCTATCAACTGCAGACATTGACAGGTTGGCCCACTTCTTAGAGCACTCACAGATCAACTCGTCTCTGTTGCCAAGAGCCCTAATCCAGCGTCAGCATCTGCGTCATTTAATGCTCATCCATGGCTAAACCACTGCAGGATTAATTCAGGCTGGACCACTGCAGTGTTTATTATACAATCTGCCCTGAGACATTTTTCATCATGTCAAAGAGATAAGCATCAGGTGAAGGGAAACAATGTGAGACTGACACCTTATATAAAAATATTCCCCTGGTCCAGGTCACCCATTCCCCCATAGCTTTTGTATTTAAGAGGCTAGTCTGTGCTGCTGAACTGAACTATGATTTTCTTCTCAGGTATTAATATTTTACTTTATATGGAAATGTAGCTTGGGTTTCCAATTGGATAGTAAACTATAAAAGTGTGGGAACTGTGTCTATTTTTACTCTTATCTCTCAGAACACTTAGCATGGGGCCTTGCACATACCGATAATTATAATAAAAATTCACATTTGTTTTGTACTTTATATGGTACCATGTCTTAACTCATTTAATCCTCACAATCACCCTATGGTGTAGCTGCAGTTATTGTTTCCATCTTGAAAATGAAGTTACTGCTACACAAAATGGTTCAGTAAGTTGCCTGAAGTCACACAGCTAATAAATGGTTTTCACCCAAGCAATCTGACGCTAGCACCATACTCTTAACCAATACTCTATGATGTAAAATTATGGCTTAAAATATTAGAACTGTCTCTAGTGGAGAAAAATACTTTATAATTTTCAAAAATTGTATATGCACATATACATATACATGTATATACACATAATACATACATCAATTACTCATGATTCATTTATCTGTGGAATATATTTATACCTGTCTTCAGGTCGTATATGGTGATCAAAAAAAAATTTTTAAAAATATAATACACCTGGCATGGCAATACTTAACATACATGAGTTTAGTTTCAACAGCCCATGTTGGGAATAAAGCATTTCCATTTGCACTGCATTTATCATAAACATTCTATGAATATTATGAAAGAAATGCAAGTTTACTATCATGAACTTAGAGATCTAGGGGTGTTTTGACCTTTTCCCAATATCTGTGGGCTTAAACCCACAATAATGTAAGCATCTAATTGATTCTTTTTAATGTGATATTTCATCATTAGCAAACATTTATTAAAAATTCATAAAAGCATGTTCAAAATATTTAAAGAGTTTTCACTTTTGTTCTCTGAAAATGGTGCTTCCCCCATTCTTTTTAATATCTGTTTTCTTTGAATCATAGAAATTAACAAGCTGGGAAAAAGACATTTGTTATCTAGCCTATTCCTGAGCCAAGGGAACAACATTCCCTCTACAGTTTCTCTTGTAGAGCTTTAGGATCCCCTACTTGACATTTTTAGCCCCAGGGCTTTTCTATTCTTTGCCAAGGAGATAGTTTGAGTCTATTAGATGTAGTGAGTATTGCTTACTGTGTGGAATTTTGCCAACCAACCCTCCCAGGTTATGAAAGGGCATGGAAAAGTGTCATAGGAATATTTTCATAGCCAAGGAGGGAGGAAGAGAAAATTCTGCCTCTTATGGTAAATTTCAAGACTATTTGAATTTAACATCTTGAGAAATATGCCTAGCTTCTTTCCAGTACCTCCCCAAAGAGCAACATTTTATAGTAGACTTCCTAACTTATTTCAGTTCATATCATTTAAGTAGCTATAAAATATTTTTAAATATTGCCAGATGTATTCCTCCTTCTTGGCATTTCCTTTTTATCCTGCAACACCTTCATCATTAAAAAAGATCTTTAGGCTAAGGCTTTTGTTCTAGAAAAGAGAAAATACCAAAGAAGCCAGCAAGCAAAATTCAGCAAGTCAAATTCTTCATTTTGAATTCCAAAATTGGCTCTTGAGAGGGAAAGATACAATAGCATGGAAAGAAAAAAATATGTATACATGTGAGTGAATAGTTGATATAGGATCTTGAAAAAGTGTTCTCACAATCACCCCTCAAGAAGTCAGAACCCTTAGGTACTTGGTAGAGGCCACCTTCCCTGGATAAGATAGTGATAGGAAAGTAGGAAAAATTAGTTCCCAACTTGGCAACTGGACTCAAACAAAAAAATTGTCTCAGAGGGCTCCACACCATCAAAGGGTAGCAGGATAGTATAAAAGTATGTACAGGGTAAGTGTTGACATAGAAGGTTCTGAAATGGCCCATCCCACCCTCCATGCACCCTGCTCCCAATCTATCATGGCCCCAGATGGAATGCAAGAGCAGACATGCATTCCCCAGGCTTATTAAGAGAGGCAGGAAGGTTGGCCAAGCGCAGATGAGGAGTCCAACTCTAGTTGGCCTTGCAATGTAGGCACAGAAGATGCAGAGTGAAGGACTTGGTGATCAGAAACCATGGGGTTATGCCTCAGCAGTGGACACAGTAAGAGTAGAGGCAGATCCCAAAGACCAGGTTCAGCATTGGCCAGCAAAGACAGAAGATGAGATATACACCAGATACTTTTTCATCGGTGACAATGGATAACATTTAGCCAATGGAAGATGGAGAAAAGAAACAGGGAACATCTTAATAACTACATATTTAGCTTAAAGAAACTGGAATTTTAAGTAGTAAGTTACCAAGTCACTTGAATTGCCAAGTTTAAATTCACCTGAATTTTATTAGTTATTGCAACTATGAAAATTCATACTCACTGTAATAGCGTTTCCTAGACCAGACCCAGTATCTAATGGGTTTATCCATACAACACTAAAGCTGAAGAAACTTAAGAGACAAGTGCCTTTAAAACTCATTACACAAGAAGTCACGTGGACAATTTTAGAAAATAGCAAAATGTATTAAAAGAAGACTTTGTAAAACATGGTTATGATTGCAAAAATCAAAAATCCGTGAAACTCCAAATATGAACATTTTACTACAGTTTAGGAAGAGACTCCTAAAGCAAAACTAAGTGCTCTC